CAGTTTAATCACCAGTCATTTCAATCTGGATTGTTCATACAGGAACTGATAGACCATTTGACATCTAATTAATTATACCCACTGCAAACTTGTTTTGATCTCAATTGCATTATTTTCCTAGTTTTCTCATTATACAATAAAGCCCATGTTAATGGGTACTGTTTATTTTCATATTATATTAAAGTATATTAAAGTGCTCAAAATGAACTACAGCTGATGAAAGAAATACAAAAAACCAGGCTGATCTTAAAGAATAAAACATCAGGTTAATGTTTAGCCAGTCTATTTGATTATCAGAAAAACAAGATGCCAAAATCAATAGGGGAATAGTTAAAGTGGATCACAATCCAAGGAATTGCAGGTCCTTTGTACTTTCTCCGAAGTACAATATGGCAGGGTTTCCTGACCTTGGCCATTTTAAGACACATGGACTTCAACTCCCAGAATTCCCTAGACTGCACGGCTGGCTAGGGAATTCTGGGAGTTGAAGTCCATGCATCTTAAACTGCCAACGTCAGAAAATCCTGCCATGTGGTAAAAGTCTTTGAAACTTACTTCTCTATCAAAAGCATTGAGTACCTTCTCCTACAGTTAACAAAGAGAAATCCCTTACATTACCAACAGATACAGTACTGTGCAAAAGTATTAGGCAGTTGTGCAAAAATGATGTAGATTATTAATGCTTTCAGAAATAGAAGTGTTAATAGTTTATTTTTATCAATTCACAAAACAGAAAGTAAATAAACAGAAGAGAAATCCAAATCAAATCAATACTTGGGGTAATCACCCTTTGCCTTCAAAATAGCACCAATTCTTCTAGGTACAACTGCACCCAGCTTTTGAAGGAACTCGGCAAGGTTCCTTCAAGGTTGTTCCAAACATCTTGGAGAACTAACCACAGATCTTCTGTGGATGTAGGCTGCCTCAAATCCTTCTGTCTTTTCATGTAATCCCAAACAGACGCTATGATGTTGAGATCGAGGCTCACTTCCAAGATTTCTTGTACTTCTTTATGCTTAATGACATTGGATATACGTTTGGGGCTATTGTCCTGCTGCAGAATAAGTTTAAGACCAATCACGTGCTTCTCTCATGGTATGCCGTGATGGATAGGTATTTGCATTCCTCAGCATTGAGGAGATTATTGATCCTGACCGGATGACGAAGAGCTAGTTCCGGACACATCAAATGGGGATGTAGAGGAATCTGGAAGTTGACAGATGCTCTGAGACAGGAGTAGTAAGGCTGAGTACTGCGGAGCAATCACGGGAGGAAAGACCGGACAAGCAAGCCATTGGCTGAACTAGGGACAGAAGGGACACAGCTGCAGCTGGGCAGTGGAAGTGAGGAAGAACTGCCTCTCCTTCTGATTCAGGGCTGAGAAGGGGGAGGCACAATGAAGGTCAGCCAGTGTTTCAATTCCATTCTTCAGTATATCAACTCTTCCAGCATTTCGCCATTTCAGTTTCATTCCAATTTCATTCCATTTTCTGGGAGTTGCCTCGCTTACTTCTAAAACATGTTTTCCTTTAAAGTAGCTCAACTTTTGCACCTCTTTTAATCTTAATCATTTCATGTTCTCATTGGAAGTTCTTTTAAAAGCAGGGGTCCCCAACCCACAGGCTGCAGCCCATTACTGGGTTGTAAGCTGTTCAGAACTGGGCCGTGGACGCGGCGGGCGAGAGTGCGCTCATGTCTCCACTTGTGCGAGCAGTGGGTGAGCATCTACCTGCCACTCGTGCAAATGGAGTTGTGCATGTGCGCACTTACCAGCTGTTCACACAGAACCATTCCCTCTTCCCCACCCCAGCCCAGCCAGTCCACAAAGCCAGAATAGTTGGGGAACTCGTTCTAAACTATCTCTTTCTCTGTATACACTTTATACATCTTCCTCTAATCCTTTTTTTTTTTTTTTGCAACAATTATTCTTTTATGTGCCCATTTCTTCATCCACAGCCCCTTCCGCTTCATCGTTCTACAAAGTTTCCTTCTTCATCCTTCCCAGTGGCATGATTCTCACACACTTCTGTAGTATTCTATGGCAATGTTTCTCAGCTTTGGGTACTTGAAAATGGGTGAACTTCAGTTCCCAGGATTCCTTTCACTCAGCTCCATGCAGCTTCTGCATGCTCTTTTTATTCATTCTGTCAGGACATTAATCTATCTGCTAATATTTTCTCGGATGAAAGACTATGCTATTGCTTCACACTGCCAAAATAAATAATAAAATAAAGGAGCTTTTCATTCAGCTGTTTTTTTTAGCAAGCCCAGCAAATTGCTACACTTTTTATATTATCTATCTTTTCAATGTAAACTTTAAGAATGGCATAAGATATTATTTTACAAGCACAATGTTCTATTGACATTGGATCTTAAAATATAATGATACTTTCAACGCAGCACTGAAAAGGCAACATTATACCCTTGATAGGAATTTTAAATTCAAGTTGACTTCATAATTGCACTGAGGAACAGAGGTGTCATTTTTATTCAGGAACAAGTCTTAGAAATTGACAGAAGTTAACATATTTTTGTGTATGAATGAATAAATTATTACATATAAAAGCACAAAATACTACCATAATAGGCCTGCATGCAAAATATGTTTTCTTCACACAGGAAATGTATTCAATCATAAACATTCCAACTTATACATATTTTTTAGAAAGGTTTGATATGTCAAGTCAAATCTTTACTATGGTCGCAGACAGCACAGATTCAGTATAGGTTTATGTTTAAACATAAAACTACCTCTTATAGATATTATATAGTGGAGAACAGTGTCGGGTAATAGTGAACAAAACTACAAGTAGTAGTTCTTGTTTAACGATTGGTCACTTAATGAGTGTTCAAAGTTACAGTGAACCCCCTTAAAAGTTACTTACAACCTCAAAGTTACGAAACACACAGAAACACACACACACACACACACACAAAGATCTACAGTCACATGGTTGTATTTTGGGCACTTGGCAACTGACTTGCATTTACAACTAGTTGCGGCATCCCACAAAGATCCCACATCACCACAAATTGCCAGTTTCCAGCCAAAATTATCCATTCAAGAGAATGGATTTGCTTAATGACCATATACTTTGCTTAATGACCATGGTGACTTGCCTTATGACTGCTGTACAAATGATCATAAAAATCAAGTAAGGTCACATAGTGATCCATTTAACAATCGCAATGACTTATGACCAAAATTCTGGGCCCAACTGTAGTTAAGTAAGGACTATTTATATGTCAGGCTTAAGCCAGATATAGTCCTCCGTCACTATCAAACAAGATTAAACTGTCAATTATGGGATTATGAACGATGGTGCCATTTTTGCCTAAGACAACAAAGCATCTCTGTCTGAAATGGTACAATCCAGCTATTTTGTTTACTATTTGAAAATGAAGCCAAGCTATCCAAAAATATCAGATGAGGTAAAAAAGATGCTATATGCCAGGACAGTATTTCTTAAATTCTCATATTACAGAATAATGAAAATGGTGCCTCTGTTTTTTTAATCAAAGGATAATTATGTCAGTAAGAAAAATCAAAATTATATGCCAAGAGGCTTCAGGAGTACTGAGATGCTTAACAAAACCTGAAGATTCTATGAGGATTTATTTGGATGTTAAAGTTTACACAATATCATTGTATTTGCTAAAAGAAATAGAACTTGATCTGCTCTAATATAAAAGGTTATAATTTGTTCTTTGCCTGTGACTTAAAGAATTATTTAAAAATACACAACAGGACATGCATATAAATGTATAAAAATCATTATATTTACAAAGAATGAGAATATAATAAGCTACTTAATGCCATTATTCTGTAACATATTTCATATTACGGTAGATCCAGAGACTCATGGTACATGATTTCAAAATCAACTTAAATGAAATTATACCACAGCAAAATTTAAGTGTAAGTAGTGTAAAAATAATCTGCTATATGATTTTACAGGAGAATGTGTGTGTGTGTATATACACCTGTATGTATGTATGTTTGTACACTGCCCATCTCACCGAAGTGACTGAGTTGTTTCCAAACCTATTAAATAAAATAACATGTGCAAACTTAGTTTACAAACTAAATAATAGTAATCTTAACTTTTACAGTAATTAATCTGGAACTAAAGTTTTCTGATTCAGTACAAGTGTGATTTTTTTTCCATTAGAAAGATGAGGCACATTAAGGAATAAGGTCATGTGTTAAATTAACTTAGATGAGTTGTTATACAGGAAGGTTTCTGTTTACCTTTACCGCTTCGTGTGAAGAAGGGATACTAAACTCTGTTTAAATTATACTATAGGGCACAAGAGTGCTGAATAAATGGATTATAATAAATAAAGATTCAGGATGGACAGAACCCCAGCTCCCCTCAAAAAGAATACCTATTTCCAGAACAAAAAGAAAAGGGCAAGATATGCACATTTTTATATATTAGATAAGAGTGAAAAACGAAAATCAAAAAAAAAAAAAACCAACCCCAGAGCCATGCAAGGCTTTCAGGAGGAAAGTGCTGTATTTTTTTTTTTTAATTTGGTGTGTGCTAGTGGTTGTTTTATGATTCTCAAGGAACCAAAGAGAAACCTTTCTCTCTCCCTCTCCTTTTTTTTTTTTAATTTAAGATCCGCCATCCCCGTTTTACTCCTTTGGGGCGGGTGGGAGTCCCGTCCGAATTGTTTAACGGGACTTTTCAAAAGTTGGGAGGAAACCTAAAGAAAGGAGGCCGGGGCGGGCATCTCTTCGGGCACGGGCTGGAACTCGCCCGTCGCCCGGGCAGAAGCGGCGGCGGCTCAACCTCGCCTTAGCCGGAGGGCACCTAAAAAAGAGCGCTGTTTCTCGCCCCCGCCCCCCCGGCCGGAGTTCAAGGGCAGAAGCGCAAGACGAGCGCAAGGATTTATTTATTTGTTTGTTTGTTTTTTTGGGGGGGAGGCGGCAATCTAGGCTCCCGCTAAGCCGGGTCACCCAAAAGCCACCGGCACTTCATCTCCTCACCCACCGGGCATCCTGTAGCAGGTCCAGGGGCAGAAGCTCCCGTCGCCCGGCTTGGCAGCGCCCGCCGCTTCCATGTCGTGAACCTGAGAAGGGCAAGGCTGCTCCGAAGCACCTCCGTCCTCCACCTCCTCCTCCTCCTCCTCCCGGGTCCCGGGTCCTTCCTGCCTTCGCTCCCATCGCTCCGTTGCCTCTGACTCTCCGGCGATGGGACCGGCGGCTTCTTCCCCGCCGCCCTCACCCTGCACCATTAGGATCGACTTCAAACTGCCTGCTGGCTCCGTCCGGCGAGGAGCCGGCAACTTTAGTGCGCATGCGGGCAAGGCCGGTTTGGCGCCGCCTCCCGCCGTCCCGTGGGCGAGGCCGGCTGGTTCCCACGGGGAGTTTATTGGCGGGCGGCGGGCCTCTGACGGGGTGTTTACCTCAGGGTTGCCTTTCAATGGGAGGATTCCCTTCTGCTTTCCAGCTCCGAGAGTTGGAAAGGTGGAATATGGGGGTTAAATCTGAAAGAGGGTATTTGAGAATATCAGTTATTAAATCAGTGTTGTTCTAATTTGGCAACAACTCTTAAGATGGATGGACTTCAGTTCCCAGAATCCCATAGCCAGTTAAAGCTGTGTGGACTTCAACTCCCAGAATTCCCCAGCCAGCATGCTGGCTGGAAAAAAATATATTTTATTTTATTTATTTATTTATTTGTCAAAAGCTTACAACATAACAGAAACAAGAATAAACATAAGTTTAAATACAAGAAATAGGAGCTAATAATAGGACAGGGACGGTAGGCTCGATTTTATTCTAGGAGTTGAAGCCCACACATGTTAATGTTCAAATACAGTTTGAAAAACACTTCATTAAATAATCCTTTGTGGAAAAGAAAGGGCATATTATGCCCACCCAGAATTGTGAGCCACTTTAAGGCATCCCTCAGCCCTGAAAACCACTAGGCCCCCATAGGCATCTCATTCAGTTGTGTTGCTCGCCTTTTTTGTAAAGAGGAGAGGACAATAGTAATGATATAAAGCAGTGATTTCTCAGCTGGAGTCCTTATGGCCCCTGGGCGTGTCTAGGTGAAAAAATGTAACAGATCATGATGCTTGTCAAGGGCAGGAAAGGAGGCGACAGATCCCCTTTTGTGATCTGACAAGCAAAGCCCGATTCACTTAACAGCCAGCCGAACTTATCAGCTGTGCAGTGATTCACTTAACAACTGTAGCAAGAAGGATCGTGAAATGGGATGAAACTCCTTTAACAAGTGTCTCACTTAACAACAGAAACTTTGGGCTCAGTTGTGGATGTAAGTCGAGAACTACCTATATTCTGTTTTCTATCATCCCTTTGGCAAGAGAGGCAGCCATAGAAAGAGAATAGATTAAAAAAATAAATGCTGGGGTTTTTACCATTCAAATTGGGATGAGATGGTACATCATTCATATAATATGTTGATTATAGAAAGAAAATTTTAATATAGCCATGATGAACCAAAGATAAACTCATTTATTTATTTTTATTTATTTATTTTATTTGTCAAAAGCTTACAATATAACAGAAACAAGAATAAGCATAAGTTTAAATACAAGAAATAGGAACTAATAATTGGGGACAATAGGACAGGGATGGTAGGCACGATTGTGCTCTGTTCATTGCTGTAGAAAATAGAACAAATTCAAACCCACATACATTTTTATATACAGGTAGTCATCGACTTACAACAACTCATTCAGTGACCATTCAAAGTCACAATGGCACTGAAAGAAGCGATTTACCACTAATCTTCACACTTCCGATTGTCACTGGATCCCCACAGTCATGTGATTGAAATTTAGGCACTTGTCAAGCATGTATTTATACAGTTGCAGCATCCTGGGATCATGTGAACATCACCTGCGAACTCCCCAGCCAGTTTCCGACAAGCAAAATCAATGGGGGAAGCTGGATTTGCTTAATGACCACATGATTTACTTAACAGCTTTGGCAAAGAAAGTTGTAAAATTGGGTGCCACTCACATAACAACTGCCTTGTTTAGCTGTGGTACCAGTTGTGATTGTAAGGGCTACCTGTATATAGGGCCTGTATCAAATTTTTCAACTTTCAATTTCCAAACGTTAGTGGTGCTCCAAAGTTGTGACATGCCTTGGGGATTGTAAAGATATTTTACTTTAATATAATTTAGACGTGCTTTGTAAATAACTTCATAAATATCATAACTTTTCAGACCAGCAATTCCCCAGCAAACAATTCAGTCCAGCAATTCCCCAGTACTATCAAAGAACATCATTCTGTGTGCAGGGTGGAAGATATCTTTATCATTTCACTCCAAAGGAAGGCTCAAAAACAGGAATAGCTGCTCAAGTGATTGCAGATAATTTGGTGTGTTTCATGAACAAGAAAGGCACTGAAGGCCATTGGAGGAGATTCTACAAATATTAATACTGGCTGTGAAGGTGGCCCATGCACTGGGTAGAAGTCAAACCAGAACATCTACTCTGTTGGAGCTGATTGAATGGTCTGAAGGTGTATATGAGAACCTTTGACTTGCCAACTGATTACAGCGGAAATAAATAAGTTCATTGTCAAACCAATGCAGGTACCATAGTGGCCCTGTCATGCCCAATCAAGAAGAGTGATGCGTGAAACAGGTCACAGAGGCAGCAAACAGACTGTATGCCCATGAGAAACATGAGGGTTATTCCAGAGGCCAAGAAGCAAGTCGACAGCTGATGTCAAAGAACGAATCAAAACAAGACTTGATGAAGCTCCTTTAAACATTTTTTGTAACTTAGATAATTGCTTTCTGATGTTAGTTTATGATTGCATGGATTATCTTTTGTTTAGCTAGATAAGATTCATGCAGGGGGAAAAAATTAATTGTTTTGGCACAAAGAGTAATTTTGAGAAGATAAAGTTAACAGTACTTGGGTTACAAGAGACTTTTGTTGATATATATAATCAGACGTGGATTTACCATGCCAAGCTAAACGTTGTGCAATTGCAAAAAGAACAGCAGATTTGAATTCTTAGTGTAAAAACATGTATCAATGAAATAAATTGAAAAAAATATTTTTCACCCCATTAAATGATACATCTACTGTACCCATGTGTGTCTGTGTGTAATATATATGTGTTTATATATAATAATAATAACATATTCAGAGTTGGAAGGGACCTTGTAGGTCATCTAGTCCAACCCAATAAATAAATAAATAAATAAATAAATAAATAAATAAATAAATAAATAAATAAGAAAAAAGCCAGGAAAGACTGACGGATTGATTGATGTTTTTGGTATGTAGACCCTTGGCTGGAATAACTGAGAACTTTAGAAAATTGAAAGAAGAAAGAAGGAAAGTAAAAGTGTTTTTATTGTGGACTTTAACGATCATAAAATATAAGAGTGTGTAATGATGATATCTCTTCGGGAATTAAAAATGGAACTTAAAAATATGAGAGAATTACTACAGGAAAGAGGCGAATCACTTTGCTCTGTGTTAGAAAAAATGGAAATGGCGATTGAAGAACAAGAAGAAAGAGCTTCAGAGGAGGAGTCAATTCAAGGAGAAGACATTTTAAATAGACAATTAACACAAAGAACACTACAAAGAAGTGGGGAAAGAAGGAAGGTTAAAAAGTTGAAATTTAAGAAGGCAATCAAAAGGGGGAATACCTGTGAAGTCAGGAAAGGCAGAAAGACTCAGCAGAAAAGGGGAAAGGAAGATATTAAGGAAGAGAAGGATATAAACTGGAATGAGAAAAGATATGGGGAAAAGAGGGGGAGGAGAAGCAGTTAGAAACAGGTGCATGAAATCAAGAAATACGGAAATAGTAAAATGTTGAAAAGAATTTTTTTTTAAGATATAATGGTTGATGAATTAAAAAGGGGATTCTGCAGGTTGACAAGGGGTAATAAGAATATTTCTGCAGTTAAAAATATTTAAAAATTAGGGTAATATAGATACTGATAACTCTTATTAAAAATCAAGCGGGGAAAATATGCTATGGAATCCAAATGAAAAGACGTAACGATTACTATTCTAACTTCTTAAAAATAATGGTTTATTGGGAATCAAGATGAGGGAATAAAGGTATATTTTAATCATTGAGGTGTCACACTCAAAACAGTAGAAGGGGGGGAACCTATACTTGTTTTTTTTTTTAGTGTTACAATTTGTATTAATCTAGAATTTATAAAAAGAATGTGTAATGGAAAGGGAATATGACAGACTAAAGAACCAGCTAAATTAATAAATTAATATAGACTATGAAAAGCAAGGAGAGACATTGGTAACTTTTTTATTACTATTATCATTATTATTATTATTATTAGGCAAACACATATTGTTTATCTTTATTTTTAAAATAAATATTAAAGGATTATATTTGAAATAATTGAAATGAAACAAAAAGATGTTTGATTGAGATTAATGAAAGAGGCTAGAATTAATGTGTTTGTTTCTCTCCTTACTGAAAATTTGGAATGGAAAAGGTAATAATAGAATTAAGTATGCATATATGAATGTATAATTGCTGTCATATTTGTATGTAAAGGTGATGACCCGGAAATATGTTGTCCACTAAAAAGAGATTTTTGTTTTTAATGTGAAAAACTGAATAAAATTTGTTAAAAGAAAAAATATTGGAACACTGCTATCGTGTGTATATGTATGTATGTATTGTATATACTGTGTGTATGTATGTGTGTGTGTGTGTGTGTGTGTGTGTGTGTGTGTGTGTGTGTATCTTTGGTAATTTGGGTTTTCTCCCGCATAAAATTGGAAGTATCTAGGCAACGTTTCAATGAAGTCTCATTCATCATCTTCAGGCTTGTGTCTTTGGCTTTGTGCTTCTCAGAGCAATTTACTCTCTCTCTCTCTCTCTCTCTCTCTCTCTCTATATATATATATATATATATATATATATATATATATATGAAATAAAATATATTGCAATGTGTATTTGATTTGTTAATAAGACATGTAAATGTTTATTGCTTTTAACTCGATTAACTTCCTGTTTTCAATAGTTTCAAGTCTATTTTCTCCTGTGACTTGGCATCATCCCAATCAGCTGAGCATGCCTGTGCTTGAAACACCAATATTCCTTCCACTTTGTTGCACAACTGTATTCAAGATCAGTGTCTAGGAAAATTATAATTTGATCTCCTTGATACCGTTAGCACAAGTGACTCAGCCTTGGAAAGTTTTCTGTATAGAAATGAATAAGACAGAATGTTTGTGCATTAATTTGAAAAGCAGCATGGAGAAATGAA